AAAGTAGCCTTCTCTTTGTCATTGTGCTAAATAAACCTGCTTTTTCAAAAGGAGTTACATTGCCATTTGAACTGATATCATCTTTGATATCTGATTCTGCGCCTTGCAAAGTTGTGTAGAAAGCATCATCATGGGTTTGTGGATCACCTTTTGTATCCTGAAATGCACTAAAGAGCAAAAGGATTGATCCAGGGAAATAACAAATGTTTAAAACAATCTTCACCGATATTGCCTCATTTACAATAGCTTGCCAAATAGCCGAGCTACAAAGAAAACTGCAATCAAGAAGGCAAGAATTGAACAAACTTTCATTATCGAAATATGTGAAGGGTTTGGCTTCTTTAGGCTTATGGTAAAAGCCAGAAGCAGCCATGTGAATCTTTGACATAAAAATACTAGCCATCCATGGAGAGGTATAATAGTCTGATCTGTATTTACTTTCTTGTTGATTGTTCATACCCCAAAACTGAAGTAGGCCAAAGCCAAAGCAGCATTAAAAGTGGCTGAGATTATTGACACTGGAGAGAAGGTTGACTCTGGTGGAGCTTTAATCTTCTTTGAAAATATTTTATAAATGAGCATACATAACAAGATGAATAGAAGCAAGATATTAGCTGCAATGACCAAAGTATTGTTGATACATGAATCTGGATTGGTAAGGGCTAAAAATCCAGTTGAACACTCAGAATTATTGCAGAGCAATAAGCTCCAGAGACCATCCCACATGTTGTTTCTCGGCGAGGTGGAAAATCTGCACAATTACAAAGGAAAAATGGATCGGTTTCTTAAATTCAAGGTTCTAAGCAGATCTATGCTAGAGTAGTCTACAGACACTGAGATTAAAGTGCATGAGATAGATCTGAAAAACAAGAAACTATTGCATTTCATTTCGTGGTTGAACAACTGCGATCATACTATCAATGTAGTTAAAGGTCACTCTGTATCATGCTTTACGTCAACGTACGTTTCTTACACAGGATACAAATATGAACTGGCATATATAATCAAAACGTAATTATGTAACAAGAGTAGTGATATATAGAAGACAAACCTTAAAGCCTTCCCATAAGAAATTTTTTTCTGAAAATTGGGTGCAAATGAAGCTATATATTATAGGGAGTTTCACTAAAACACCCAAAATGGGGGTTGAAATTATAAAAAAACTCAAGTACTATTTAAACATATAAACACACCCAAAACCCATCATTACACACACTCAAAACCCATTTATAAACACACCCAAAAAGTTGAATTTGGGGTCGATTTTAGGTGTGTTTCTATGTTTAAATAGTGCTTGAGTTTTTTTTATAAATACATGTCTAGGATTGGGTTTATTTATAAATTTGTATATATTATATACCATCAAGTGAAAAGAACACAATTCAAAAACCAAACATCTGTGTCAAGCTACAGAATCACAACATTTAGAGAATTCACAATGGGAGGGTGTATATGGGAGTGTATGTTAAATATACACCCCTTGTCACCGGAATCGTATCCAATAGGAAGATGTAAAGGGATGTAAATATACATCACCACCATGGAGATGTAAAATAAAATATACATTTACATATATTTTTACATCTTTTGCAGGCGGGACCCACCTGAGAAAAGAGAGGAAAAATTATACATCTTAGATTTACATCGTTTTCCATTGGAGCAAAAAACGTATTTACATCCCCCGGAGGTGTAAAGATGATGTAAAAGTGGCTTTACACCCACGAAAATACACCCCCCTCTGTGAATGCTCTTAGTAAAATAAGATTGCAGTGTCCCATATCATTCAAGAAGCATGCATTAAAAACAAAAACAAAAAATCTTACAGTAGGTAAGCTCACTAACAAATCAGCCTCCTGTTCTAAATTGCTCTTGAGGTCCCCTGCTGTAGCTTGTCATGCATAAAACCTGTCTTTAAAATACCATCAAAGAAGGGTGTGATATGTCATAGGCAACGTTGAAAAATAAAAAAAGTTAGCCAAGGGCACGCCAAATCATTACCCACTTTTGTGTACGATGTCCTACCTCAGTGGAAGTTTGACCTTTTTGACTTCTCAGCAGCACATGGTGAAGTGAAGTACAACGTTCTTCGGGTTTTGGTTTTCATAGTTTCCAAAAGAATGATTTTTGTACTGTGGCTGGCGAATTCATGTGAGGTGTCTCTGTTCTGTTTTTTTTTTCTTGTCATGTAATTATTACAAAATGGAGTGGACTAAATTTACCTTATGTATATTATAAAATATAGAAGATGTAACATATAGAAGGGTGTTTGGATAATCCATTGAAAAAAGTATATAACCTAAGCCCTAAATCCAACATTATAAAATATAACTTATTAAATAATATATAGAAGATGTAAAGAGGTCTTTACCCCTTTTGAATAAACATTGAGGGGTAAATGAGTCTTTTTATGTTGGTTTTATTTCCCTCACTAAGTAGTTGCAGAACAGCCCAATAAGTCATTTACCCCTTTTGAATAAACATTTGGACAGAAGAGACGGCAAGACTATAACTGCCAACGAAACTGAAGTTTAAGGACCATGGTAATGATTTTGGAAATTAAGGGACCAAAATGAGAATCAGGCCAAAGTTCAAGGATCATTGGACTTGGTTTGTAACTGATCAAGAGAGAATGAATGTTTTTTTGCATAAGCAGTCCCAGGGGTTAGTTTTTATTTTTTATTTTTTATTAGAGCAATTCCAGCGGTAAGGCTGGGGCGGGGGCTGGGGGGGGGGGGTTGGGTGCAAAAACAGGATTACAACAA